AACTTTCCCCTCCCCCTTTTTTCCATGCAGCTGTCAAGATTTTGCACTGCTCCTCCTCTCTCCTGTCCTCCTCCTTAATCGTATTGGCCCTGAGTGACCCGTCCCACCCTGCCCTGAGAAAAAGGCAGGCCTTTTCTCCTTGGTGACGGCTGTTGAATTTCATGTAATTTGTCCTGCTCTTTTGTGTCCGCCGGCTCCCGGGAGCCGCCTGGCACCAGCCTCGGAGAGGCCGCAGTCGAATCGTAATTCAGCCAGCCTTCTTCTAGCGTGATGGCCCCTTTGGGGCAGACAGTTGCCAGACCTGGACTGATGTGAAAAAGTGAATGGCGAGAGCTCTGGGGCTTCCCTCTTCTCTCGCCTCTCCTCGCCCCTTCTGGTCAGATCCTCGGGTGCAGCATATATATATATATATATATATATATATGTATATATATATATATATATAATACCCGTGCACGAGGCCCAGGCGCCCGGGGCCATGGCCACGGGGGGGCATGGGAGGACCTGGGTTTCCCACACCGCTCCTAGAGCACCCCGGAGGGGCCGTGGAGCCCCCAGACTGCCCCCAGAGAGCTCCACCGCGCTCCCAGAAGCCCTCGGAGGACTTCGACAAACCCCTCCAAGACAGCCCAGACAGTCCCAACGTGGCCCCAGATAGGTTCCAGACTGGAAATACACAGCCCAAGTGGCCTCCGAGAGGCTTCAAGAGACCTCCGAGAGGCGTCTCGAGAGAGCCCGAAGAGGCCCAACTCCTTGATTTTCATTGGTTGTTCTATGTTTTCCGGTGTCTTGCGTTTTCGATTTTCCGACGCTCCACGACAGCCGACGACGCCCCCAAGACCGCCCCAAGACCGCCGAAAAGGCTCCCAACAGAGCCCCAAGACTGCCCCAGGGAGCCCGAAAATTGCCCGGGACGAGCCTCGGACGGCCCAAGAGAGCCCCAGGACAGGCCCAAGCTGGACCCCAGAGCGGGAGCGGGAGGCCCCAAGGCGCTCCAAGACGGCCCTGATGGCCCCAACGTGGCCCAAGATGGGCCGAACACGGCCAATACACAGCCCAGGAGCCTTGCAAGAGGCCCCAGGAGAGCTCCGAGCGGCGTCCCGAGAGAGCGCGAAGAGGCCCATATCCTTGATTTCCGGTGTTTTCTTGGAATGCGTTTCGCTTTCTCGCGTTCTCGAGCTTCCAGCGCTCGAACACGGCCGAAGACGCCTCCAAGATCGCCCCGAGATCGCCGAAGATCACCCAAAACGAGCTCCAACACGGCCCAGGAGAGCCTGAAGACTGCCAAAGAGCAGCCCAAGACTGCCCAAGAGAGCCGCAGGACAGGCCCAAGCTGGGCCACAGCGCCAGCGGGAGGCCCAAGAGGCCAAGAGGCCTCCAAGAGGGCTCCAGAGTGCTCCGAGGGACGCCCCGAGAGAGCCAACGGAGGCCCACATCATTGATATGCATTGGTTTGTTCGATGGTTTTTCGCTTTCTCACGTTCTCGAGCTTCCAATGCTCGCCGAAGAGGCACCCAAAAGATCCCAAAAACGGCCCAAGAGAACTCAAGGACAGGCCCAAGCTTGGCCACAGAGCGGGAGCGGGAGGCCCCAGATCGTTCCAAGACGGCCCAGATGGCCCGGGCCTCCCCCCTGCGTCCTTCCTTCCCTCCCGCCCCCTCCCCTTGCCTCCATTCCCTCCTCTTCTCTTCCTTCCCTCACCCCTCAGCTTTCGTGCTCCTCTCTCCTCTCCTGGGACGGCCTCGCCAGAGCGCCAGACAGGCCCCGCCCGAGCGAGCGGGGCATCGCTATAGCCCATCATTTCACAAGTTGCTTTCCCCCTCCCACCCCTGAAGGGCGGCCCCGGCAGAGCGAGAGCATTCTGACTACGCGTTTCTTTGCGTCGATGGCATGGGCCCGAGAACGCTGGAAATCGTCGTCGTGACCACACCAGGGCTTACAGCGGCACCCGTACCTCACCTGCGACTAGAACCTAAGCGCGCACGTGGTTCTAATATATATATATATATATATGTATATACAGATACATATATGCAGGAATAAGTTTATGCACATCTAAATGTACATCTACATATGTATATAGTGGGTGCCCATGCCAAGAACCACCCTGCTTACCTCCAGGGTGCCCTGGGCTTCTTTGATATCGCTGGCTGTGCGGTGGAGAGCGCGACGTTCCCACACCAAAAATCCAGTTACGCCCTGGGATCTCAGGGGTGGGCTTCTTGTAGAAGGTTTCTTTGTGGACCGGCCTCTACTGTATTACATACATATGCATATATGTATACAAATGTATATTTAATACGTATGTATGTACGTATGTGTGTGCATGTAGATATGTGTACCCACCTGGGTGGGCAAGTCGGCCAGTGGGGCCACGGCCACGCCAGCGGGGGCATGGATCCGTGAAGCGCTGCTCACGAGCACAAGGCTCCAGAGGTCCGCGCGGACCGCTCGGGCTCGCCCGGACGCGCCCCCTTCCTGGCGCGCCTCGTGCGCCGAGCGCCGCCGGGGGGGGGTCCAGCGCGGGGCCGAGATCGCCGCGCGGGCCTCCGCGAATGTGTGTCGGCGGCGACGATTCGGGGGTGGACAGAACCCCCAACAGTGACACGTCGATTAGTGAATTGTCCGTGTTCGGTTCTCGAGAGGGCGCCGTGGCCGTCGTTTTCCAGGCTTGCGCCCGCCAGGTTTGGGCCTCGGGTCGTTTTCACTAAACCACGTTTTACTAAAGGGGGTCTGTCCATCCCCGAACGATGGGGGCGAATAGCCCAGGGGCGGGGATGGCACGCATTCGCCCGGGAGCCTTTTCGAAGACACAGATCATCGGCGCGCCTGAATACACGGATTGCTCTCCCCTGGGCTATTCGCCCTCGTCGTCGCCTCTGAGTGTGTATGCTGTCTTCTGGCCCTCTGGACATGGCACTCTCGAGATGTTACCGATCTTTCATCAGATCTTCCGGCACATCGAGCAGGCGATGCCGTCGGCGGAGCCGCGGGAGGTGGTCGCCACGTGCGTCGCCACGGTCTTCGTGTCGACGGCCAGCCTTGGGGTCGTCCTCGTGGTCGGCGCCAGGCTGGGTTGCTCGAAGTGGTTGAGGTGCGTTCCTGTGGTGGTCTTGAAGGGGGCCCTATTCCGGGGGCTGCCAAAGGTGTCCCTGGCCCAAGGTGCCCCCAGTTTTCCGCGCCGCTCTGCAGACCCTGGTGCTCTCTGGGCCTCGTCATGGGGTGCTCTGGATGTCGTGCGAGCCTTCCCTGAAGGCCTGGGGACACCTTGGGCCAGGGACACCACTGGCAACACCCGACGATTTGGTGTTGCCATCTTCCTCCTGAAGTCCGCCTTCTCAGAGACCACCGAGGGCGCCGGCGGCGACCTCCCGGGGATGCTGAGCCAGTGGCAGCACTGGCTGCCCGCCGTGGCCCTCGGCTCCCTGATATTCCTGCTGGACGAGCTATCTCGAGGAAGAAAACGCTGCACAGCCTCAGAAAGCCCAGGCTTCGCTGGGGACTGGTCTCTCCCCCGAAAACTCAGGAGGGGTTCCCAGGAAAATATGGGAAACTATAGGAAGTGGAGGGGAAGACAAAAACCCATTAAATATTGGAAAATATGGGGAATCTTGTATTTATGTGTGTGTCTGGGGCCCCTTCAAAAACGACGACAGCCCTTCCAAACCCCTCACCGGAGCCCTCCGAAGAGTCGCCCACAACCCTTCCCGGAGGGTGTTCGGAGGACTTTGGGAGGGCTTCTCGGCGGTTGGGGCAGGAGGCCAGTCCCCCGCGAGCCCTGGCCTCTCGAAGCGCAACCGCACACTCTGGGAGGTCCGCGCGCATTTCTCGGATCTCACCACCCACCAAACCACCCCAACCCAACCCGAAGGCTCAGATTTACCCTCGATTTCTAGTGGGGGGGGGGGTCGGGAAACGTCGAAAAAACACGTGTGGAACCCTTACCCCCCCCAACCCGAAATTCGGGTCTTCGGGTTGGGTTGGGGTGGTCTGGGAGGTAGTCAGGATCGGGGCCGAGACCCCCCCCCCTCCTCTGGCGCGCGGAGCGCGGGCGGCGCCAGCGGCGCGCCGCCGGGAAGGTCACGGCGCCGAGGCGAGAGATCCGCGCGGGGCTCCGAGCTCGGCATCGCTCGGACGTGTGCATTTTTTTCCTTCGGCGAGGGCCATCGAGGAGCATCCTTGACCAGTTGGCGAAAAAGCCACGCGCGAGACCGGGAAAGAGCACAGGGAATGGACGCCCGTCCGAGCGATGGCCGGTGGCTGTGCAGGCCTTTGCTCCTCTGCCGTTGCACTCGCCGGTGCTCATCGTGTGCGTCTTCCTGGCCATCGCCGTGGCGCCGCAGGCGGCCGAGGCGCTCGGCGGGCCCAGCGTCGCGGAGCTCGCGGCGGGCGGGTGGCTGCTGGGCACGGCGGGCGACGCGGGGGGCGCGGGGGGGTCGGGGCCGTGGTACCTCGAGCTGTTCTCGAGGGGGGAGCCAAACCCGGCCCTTGGCATCGCTCGGACGTGTGCATTTTTCTTCCAGCGAGGACCATCGAGGAGCATCCTTGACAATTTGGCGAACAAAAACACGCACGACACCAAAAAAAGTACAGGGAACGGACGTCCGAGCGATGGCGAGAGCCGAACCAGACCACCCAGCCCAACCAAGCCATGCCACCCGAGCCATCAAGTCACCCCAACCCTACCCGAAGGCCGCGTGCTTTCCACTTCCAGTGGGCAGTGGGGGGGGCTCGGGGAACATTGAACAACTGCACCAGAGAAAAGCCCCAATCAGTGGATGGCTGAGGAGATCGACTGGGAACCCGGGAGCCCGGAAACCCAGAACCCACCGAAATCGGCTCGGAACCAATAACCCGGAACCCGGTAACCGGTAACCTGGGAACCCAGCTTGTTACCAAAATCGGTGGGAAACGTTCGCCAAACCTTTCAACTTCCGCTAGGACCCCTTCAGTGCAAGCACTGATTGGAGAAACACGTGTGGAACCCGTACCGCCCCCAACCCGAAATGCTGATCTTCGGGCCTCGGGTTAGGCTGGGGTGGTCTGGTAGGTAGTCAAATACGTAAGCAAGCACTTTCGGAGCTCCGCCCAGACTTCTGCCTTCGGCGCCGCCCCCTGGTGCGCTCCACGCGCCAGGGAGGGGGGTCCAGCGCAGATCCAAGAAATCCGTGCGGACCTCTGAACATATATGTTTACTGTGGAGATCCCATGCCAAGAAACGCCCTGCTTGCCTCCAGGGTGCCCTGGGTTTCTTGGGTTTCGATGGTTCGTTCTGCCGTGGAAGGCGTGACGTTCCCACACCAAAAATCACTGGACGTCCTGGGGTTCAGGGTCGACTTTCTTGTGGAAGGTTTCTTGTGGTCGAGCTCCTATATGCAATTGTTGTTCCTCTAGGTTTGCTACTTACCGTGATTTCTTGCCGAGCGTCTCGTGGCTTACTGTCTTTCGCAACGCTCCAGCGATGTGCGGCCTCTGGCTTACGCACGTCCTCTGCACCCTGATGGACCAGAAGGCCATCGAGCTCCTGACCGAGACGGAGATCAATCTCGACGACGAGCTCAGGGCGGTTGGCGTCGGGAACATCCTCAGCGTGCTGATGGGAAGCGGCTTCCCTACATCCGAGGGAGAAAAATGGTATGAGCATGAACTTCCGGAGTTCCGCTCGGACTCCTTGGATCGGTGCCGGGCCACCCCCGCGCACGGAGCGCCGGGGGAAGCGGCAGGGGCGCCGCCAGGGGGGCCCAGCGCAGAGATCCGAGAAGCCCGCGCAGAGATCCGAAATGTTATATGCATCCAGATAGCTGATTCTTCCTCTGTGCATACACGCTGTGCAGCCAGTCGGTCACCAACTTCAAGCTCGGGGGCCGCACCAAGGCCGTCGGGCTCGTGAAGGTCGTGGGCACTGTGCCAATGCTGTTCCTCGCGCAGAGCATCGTGCCCCGCCTGCCCCGCACCCTGCCCGGGTCTGTTGCCTGGTGGCTCGGCCTGAGCTTCTTCAAAGAGACCGGCGTGGACATCCTGCTGCAGCACTCCCACGGCTTTGACGTCCTCATATCGAGGAAGAACAGCAGCATACACGTAGCCTTTCGGAGCGCTGCGCAGATTTCTAGGATCCGCGCTGTGCCCACCTGGCGGCGCCTCTGGCGCCGCCCCTGGCGCGCGGAGCGAGCCAGGGAGGGGTTCCAGCGCGGATCCGAGAAGTCCGCGCGGGCGTAAACGTTTACGTTTGCGCTGTTTTTGTTGTTCCTCTGTTGTAGTGGCCTGCATGGCCGCAGTGATGACCACCGTCGGCCTGCTGGAGGGGATCCTCCTGGGCCTGCTCCTGGCCCTCGTCGTCTTCACCCAGAGGTTCTCAAGCCTGGCGCCCGTGGTGCGCGCGGTCCAGAACGCCACCTTCCTGCGCTCCACCTCGGCGGCGAGCGAGGGGGGGAAACGAGAAGGAGAAGGCCTCCTCAAGAGGGCGGCGGGGCTTCTCTCTCTTTCCGCGCCCTCGGGGAAGGCTCGGGAGAAGCTCCTCGGAGGGCTGGGGGACCTCCGAGCCTCCTGCGAGGGCCCGCCCCTCCTCTGTAAGAACGGTTTTCTGAAGGCAGATCTGCCTTCAAAAAATGGTCTTTTGAAGGCAGATCTGCCTTCAAAAAATCGCTCTTACAGAGTAGACCAGACTTCCCCCCCCCGGGCGCGCCGCCGACCCAACAACACCCGGACGGTCGCGGAGTACAGCAAGCTGGAGAAGCTGGGGGGCAGCATCAGGCCCGCCGGCCCGCCCGCCGTGCGGGCCCCGGCAGGAGCGCAGCCCCCGGGCGCTCGGCATCGCTCGGGGGACGGTGCACTCTTCCTCGGCGAGGGCCATCGCTCAGGAGGAAGATATGGGAACTGGGGGGAAGACAAAAACCCAGAAAGTATGAGAACAGATGGGGAAGTATGTTATTTGTGTGTATTTATTTGTGTGTCCTCGGGCCCCTTCAATCGGGGGGCATCCTGGAGCATCCTGCAGAAGAAGCAAGAACTGCACGAGACCGACAACTGCAGGGGGATGGGACGTCCGAGCGATGGCGGGGGCCGGAGCGCACGGCGCGTCACGGGCACGCAGCCTCGCAGCCCTGTCCGCGAGAGGGGTGTCCCAGGGCTGGGCCCGAACGCCGTGTTTCGTGCTTCGTTTTGGCAGGGGGGTGCAGGACAACAGGCAGAGCGACGCGAAGCACTAAACGAAAACAAAACGCGAAAACAGGCAGAGCAACGCGAAAACAGGCAGAGCAACGCGAAGCACTAAACGAAAACAAAATGCGAAAACAGGGAGGTGCAGGAAAGCAGGCAGAGCAACGCGAAAACAGGCGGAGCAACGCGAAGCACAAAACGAACACAACACGAAAGGCAGCGTTTAGGTCCAGCCCTGAGGTGTCCTGTGCCTGGCCTCGGCTCCGTCCACGGCGCGGCCCAGGTCGATTTTTATTCGGGCCCCATACGATGCGTTCCGATGCTCGACCCCATCGTTAAGTCGGGCATGCCCTTCTGCAGGAGGAAGACTCAGGAATAGTCAAGAAATAGTGGGGGAACGATTTTTCTGGTGTTTCTTCGGCTTCAGGTGCAGAGGGGGCCTGGTGGTTTGGCTTCAGTCGTGGTCGGCCCCCCGCGATTAGATGTTTTTTTTGCGCGAAACGTCCCTCCTCTTCCTCCTGCGCGAAACTTTACTTCTCTTCCTCCTCCTCCTCCTCCTCCTCCTCCTCCTCCTCTCCCTTCATCCTATCATCCTCTCATCCTCCTCATCATTCTTCTCTTGCTCGTCCTTACTCCCCCACAACCCCCGTTCCCTCTCCTCCTCCTCCTCCTCCTCCTCCTCCTCCTCCTCCTCCTCCTCCTCCTCCTCCTCCTCCCCCTCCTCACCCCTTCCAAGGGAAAGCCATAACTTTCGGAAAACCCTGGGGAAAAACAAGAAACTGAAGTGCTGGAGGCTGAAACTTTGGAAAACACATGGGAAAGACCAAGCAACACAAACCAACCTAAATATTCTAGGGACAACCAGTCCGAAGGGACCATCTCCTCCTCCTCCTCTTCTCTTATCTTCCTCCTCCTCCTCCTCCCCCCCTTCCAGCGGAACGCCACAACTGTAGGAACACTTTGAGAACAATCTAAACAAACCAAAGACTGAAGTGCTGGAGGCTGAAACTTTGGAAACACCATTGGAAACACCATTGAACAACTTTGGAGTGCTGGAGGCTGAAACTTTGGAATCAAGTTGCGGGTGGGGGGTGGGATGTTTGCGCGAGCAGTGGCAAGTTCAGCAGAGTGGACTGCACCACACAGATTGCGCCACACCGATTGCACCACCTGAGTTACATCACGTTGTTTGCACAACTCATGTTGCGCCATGTACTTTGCACCACATAGTTGCACCGCATCTATTGCGCCACGCATACTGCATTCCACAGCTTACATGACCACACCACAGAAATTCTTTACGCTTCGCGTATCCCCACCAGCCCATCTCAAAACAGCAACTCTTGCGAAGCATGCCGACAGTCGTGTTTTTCAGGCGTGTGTCCGCTTCCCCCCGCATATCTCCCCTGTTCCTCCTTCCTCCCGCCTCCGTGTACATCCTCCTTGTGGTGGGAGCGGGAGAAGGACGAGGCGGAGGAGGAGGGAGAGAAAGCGGTGGGAGGCAAGAGGGATTTAGCGGAGACGACCACCACAGCGATGGTCCTAACAACGACGACGCACCCGACGACGACGACGATATCGACCGCAACGACGACGACGACCCCAACCGCGACGACGACGACGACGACGACGTCGACGACGACGACGACGAAGGCGGCGACGACGACGACGACGACGACGACGACGACGACGACGGCGACGACGACGACGACGACGACGACGACGGCGACTGGTGGGAGTCGTTGGGGCCCCTCGTGGTGTGAGTCGTTCGGCCCCATCGTCCTTGTGTGAGTCCTTCGGGCCCCTCTTCCTGGTGTGAGTCGTTCGGGCTCGTCGTGGTGTGAGTCGTTCGGGCCCCTCGTCCTGGTGTGAGCCGTTCGGGCTTCTCGTGCTTCGAGTCGTTCGGGCCTCTCGTCCTGGTGTGAGTCGTTCGGGCTCGTCGTGGTGTGAGTCGTTCGGGCCCCTCGTCCTGGTGTGAGCCGTTCGGGCTTCTCGTGCTTCGAGTCGTTCGGGCCTCTCGTCCTGGTGTGAGTCGTTCGGGCCCTTCTTCTTGGTGTGAGTCGTTCGTGCTCTTCGTGGTGTGAGTCGTTCGGGCTCTTCGTCCTGGTGTGAGTCGTTCGGGCTTCTCGTGGTGTGAGTTGTTCGGGCCCCTCGTCCTGGTGTGAGTCGTTCGGGCCCCTCCTCTTGGTGTGAGTCGTTCGGGCTCCTCGTGGTGTGAGTCGTTCGGGGCCCTCGTCCTGGTGTGAGTCGTTCGGGCTTCTCTTGGAGGCCTTTTGGGGCGTCTTCGGGGCCTCTTGGCGGCCCCAGGGGCTTCTAGGAGCGTCTTGGGTGCCTTGGGGGAGCCTCTTCGGGCCTCTTGGGAGCCTCTTGGAGGCCGTTTGGGGCGTCTTGGGGGCCTCTTGGCGGCTCCAGGGGCTTCCAGGAGCGTCTTGGGTGCCTCGGGGGAGCCTCTTGGGGCCTCTTGGGGGCCTCTTGGGGGCATCTTGGGGGCCTCTTGGAGGCCTCTTGGGGCCTCTTGGGGCTCTTTGGGAGGGGTCTGGGAGGTATCTTGGGGCCATCTTTCGGGCGATGGATCACAGATGGGGCGAGCACTTTTCTCCTCCCCCCCGTCGGGGCCAGAATCCTCGTGAGGGGTGTCAAATTTTAGCCCTCCCAGGAGTCGAAAAAGACCACTCCAACGACCCGCGAAACCCCCTCTCCAGGTCCAGGGGGAGGGGGTAGGGGGAGGGGTAAACCCCTCCCCGAAGGGGAAGAAGGGGGGTTGAGAACAGAGAGAGCTCGCTAAACCACTCACGCCCAAAGGGCTGGTGGGATTGCAAGCACCTAGGCGACACCGTTCATTTTGCACCACATCGATTGCACCACACAGCCTGCGCCACGTAAGTTGCCCCACGCGCACACAAACATATATGAACATATATGTGCACCTCCCTATATATGTATTGCAATACTGAGATTGCACCACGGGGCTTGCACCATATAGGCTTACACCACTTTTCTTGCATCACGTAGTTTGCTCCACATACGTTGCACCGCATTGATTGCTCCGCGTATAGTGCACCACGCATGGTTTGCATTACGCAGCTGGCACCACGTAGCCCCCACAACATAATCTGCACCACTTCGGTTGCCCCGCCAGTATTGCACCGCATCGAATGCACCACATAGCGTGGACCACGTAGCTCGCGCCACATGTCTTCTCCTTTCTTAAAAAACAATAGACTCTACCCCCCCCGGCGTCATCCACACCCCTTTCGGGTATGTGCATCCATCATATCTGATTCTGAACACATGTTCATCCCAAATATGAATTTACACTATCCCAGGGGGGCCGGTATCGCCCCCCCCTGACGTTCCCTAGTAAAAAACAATGCGCGGGGACATTTTTTGCTCTAACAGAAGACTTGTGCACGAATCCCTTGCAAAACATCGGACGAAGTGCGCACGCGCGCGTCGTCGCGCGCGCATGCGGGAATCCTTCAAGAACCTTCGGTGTCGGAAGTATTTCGCAATGGAGTTCCCAAACAACATACAAAAACACATGGTTTTGCAACACTGATTCGCTAAAAGAACTTACGCGCGAGCTCTTGCGAAATCTTAGGAAAACTATGGGTTTCTCCAGATTTTCACAAAATGCTACCAAACGGGCTTCGCGCGCGCGCGCGTGTCGAAATCTGTCGAACGCCCTTGCGTGTGTGCCGTCGCGAAAATCCTCCGCAAAAAATGGGACGAAGTGCAGACGCGCGCCTCGTATGCCGAAATCCTTCAAACCCATCGGTTTCGGAAGGATTTCAAAATCGTGTGTCCAAAAAACCTACAAAAACACAAGGTTTCGCAACACTGATTTTCAACAAAGGTGTGCGCGCACGCCTTGCGTCGTCGTCGTCGTCGTCGCCGTCCTCCCTCCTCCCGCGTCGTCGTCGTCGTCGTCGTCGCCTACGTCGTCCTCTGTCTTTCCTCGTGTTCCTCGTCATCGTCCTCTCTGGCGTCGTGGTCGTTTCCGTCGTCGTTGTCGCCGTGGTCGTCCTTCCTTCTCCTCCCTCGTCGTCGTCGTCGTCGTCGTCCGTCGTCGGCGTCTCGTCGTCCCTCCTATTTCGTCGCCGTCGTCGTCGTCGTCGTCGTTGCCGTCGCCGTCGTCTTCCCTCCCTCGTCGTTGTCGTCGTCGGTCCTCCTTCTTCGTCGTTCGCGTCGTCGCCGTCCTCCCTCCTCCCTCGTCGTTGTCGTCGTTGTCGTCGCTGTCGCCGTCGTCGTCCTCCCTCCTCCTTCGTCGTCGTCTTCGTTGGCGACGTTCTCGTCGTCTTCGTCGTCGTCGGCGTCGGCGTCGTCGTCGTCTTCGTCGTCGCCCTCGTCGTTGTCGTCGTCGCCGTCGTTGTCCTCCCTCCTCCCTCGTCTTGTCTTCGTTGGCGACGTCGTCGTCGTCGTCGTTGGCGTCGGCGTCGTCATCGTCGTCGTCGTCGACGTCGGTGTCGTCGTCGTCGCTGCCGTCGTCGTCGTCGTTGTCGTCGTCGTCGTCGGCGTCGTTGACATCGTCGTCTCCTTCTTCGTCGTTGTCGTCGTCGTCGGCGTCGTCATCGTCGTCGTCGTTGTCATCGTCGTCGATGTCGTGGTCGGCGTCGGCGTCGTCGTCGTCGTCGGTGTCGTCGTCGTCGTAGTCGTCGTCGTCGTCGTCGTTGTCGGCGTCGTCGAAGTGGTTGGCGACGTCGGTGTCGTCGTAGTCGTTGTCGGCGGCGTCGTCGTCGTCGTTGTCGCTGTCGTCGTCGGCGTTGCTGTCGTTGCCAAGTGCCATTTGGTACCCACAGTCACGGTCTTAAGACATTTTGCAAACCAAGTTGCGGGTGGATGGGTGGGATGTTTGCGCGAGCAGTGGTGTGGACAACTCACTGCGAACAGAAATTAATTGCACCACATAGTTTGCACCGCATACTTTGCATCACACAGATGACACCACAACATATGCTAGGCCGCACTGGTTGTGGTCCACGGTGGCTGACTGGTTTGTACTTTCTCCTCGGAGCGGGCGGGTGCCGCCAAGGGGGGTGCATACAGTAGGGGCCCATGCCGAGAAACATGGTGCTTGCCTCCACGGTGCCCTGGGTCTCTTCGGCCCCGATGGTTTTGCAATGGAAATCGTGACGTTCCCACACCAACAATCAATGGACGCCCTGGGGTCTCAGGGCTTGGTTTCTCGTGGAAGGTTTCTTGTGGGCTGGCCTCCACCGTGGGTGGCTGTTGCCACCCCTTCCCCCGTCAGGGTCCTACACCTGGAGGGCTACATCATGTTCGGGTCTTCTCCGCAGCTGGTCGACAAAGTGCGGCCGCTGCTGAAGCCCGGCGGCCCCAGATGGGTGATTTCGGAGTAGAAACATGTGCACAGGCATCAACATTCGGAGGTCCGCGCAGACTTCTCGGGTGGGCGCTGGCCCCCCCTTCTCTGAGGGGGGTCTAGCGCCGTCCCAAGGAATCCGCGCATTACCAGTTTGAAACATATCCCTATCCCTATGTTTGACATCACCTCACCTCGATGCCGATCTTGAGGATTCCCTTAGTTTTTGAGGGCCTATCCCTAAGACTGTCCCCGCTTCTTGCTCGCCCATCTTAGGGATAGAGAGACGTTTGAGGCTGGTTAGCGCAGCCCTTCGAACGTTCACGCCCGTGCACATCTTTCCCTCTTCCGTGGTCCTGAACTTCCAGCGCGTGCACGGGCTGGACTACTCCGCCACCTGCGACCTGGCGGCGCTGGGGCGCAGGCGGACCGCCAGAATTCGTCCGCGTCCACCGCTCCGAAGTGCCGGGCACGGCGCCCCCCCCTCGGCTCAAGTCGGGCGCGTTCCTCTACAGGAGGCATGAATCCAGATATGGTCATATTGTAGTACTCATGAGAGCGATGTTTCGAGTACTTTTTGGATTGCTTTTGCGTACGTTTGGACAATCTTTGATTGTTCGTCCAAGATCCGCCTGTCGGAGGGCATGGCCGACCTCCTCCTCCTCCTCCTCCTCCTCCTCCTCCTCCCTCCTCCCTCCTCCCTCCTCCCTCCTCCTTCCTCTTCCTCCTCCTTTCGTCCTCTCGCCACTTGGCGTCCCGCCTGCGGTGCGCAGGCGGACCCCGCTGCCGCGCCGCCAGGCAGGCAGCCTCAGCACACGAGCCCGCAGATCACGAGCTCGGCGCCCGCCACGACAGCAGGGCACTCCGGGCCCGAGAGCAGCCAGCCGATAGCAGGAGGAAAAGAAGCACACAGACACAATGAATCTTCGATTCCCCAGAAAATATGGGAAAATATGGGAAGGGGGGGGGAAGACAGAAATCCAGAAAATATGGGAAAATATGGGGAATGTGTTTATTTGTGTGTATTTATTTGTGTGTCCTGGGGCCCCTTCACAATAGCCAGTTGCCTCCAGACCCGGTCCACCTGGTGCGCCAAAGGCAGGGCCGCCAGGAAAAGTAAGCACGACATTGATACATCACCAGTGCCCCGAAAAAAGGTAATCCAGATTTCGTCATAAAAGGGAGGGGGTCACAGCCCTCCCAGTCGAGAAGTTTTAGACCCCCCCAGACCATCCATGCAAGGGCGGCCCTTTGCCCAGACCCCCCCGAACCCTCCAAGACAGCTCAAACCAGACCCCCCCAAATGTGACCCCCCCCACTTTATCATGGAATCCGGAGTAGCCGACGTCGGACGACATCGGCACACGTATGCTCCCAGCTGGCCAACTCCCCAAGTTTGTGGAGCCCGAGTATGAACTGCAGCCGCTGACGCCCAGCCAAGCCGCCACAACACCGGAGATGAAATGGACCAGCACGGCATACGCGCCGACCATCCAAAACACAAGTATGTGCGTTCCATGGCATGAGTAAAGTGACCAGTCACGCACCAATGAAAGAGTGTACCGAGTGTACGCCGCCTGCAGCCACAACCAGCAAAACGGTGACGCAACACTCAATATCGTAGATGATACTACTCGGCAACGGGTAGGGTGCTCCCCTTGCGTTCTGACAGAAGGTCGTAGAGCCGCGAGTGGAACTCCATCGACTGAGCCTTGGCGAACCGCAACACGCTCTTGATCTGATTGCGGCGAGTCGCGTCGCGAGCAGCCCCAGGACAAGGCTCCCGCAGCTTGAAGGTCTTCCTGGTGACGTCACACCATTGCAAGTTCACACCACTGAGTAGTGTGACCCAACTCGGCAAAATAGTCGTGCGTGTAGAGCGTAGCATTGCCCGTCCAACTCCAAGCACATTGTCCGCGAAGTTGAGAGCAACATCCACCGCCTCCTCGCGTTGAGGCAAATAGGTCGATCCCTTGGCCGTGCCGAAGAAGACGTCGGCCTGCAAGGCTTGTTGCGCCGTCGGGTTGCATACCTTGCGTGGGCCCCACGTCAAGTTATTATAAGTGCGTGTTGGTGCGAGCCCGCACACCGCAGCCACGACACTTCTCCTCCTCCTCCTCCTCCTCCTCCTCCTCCTCCTCCTCCTCCTCCTCTCCTCTCCTCCTCCTCCTCCTCTCCTCCTCCTCCTCCTCCTCCTCCTCCTCCTCCTCCTCCTCCTCCTCCCTCCTCCTCCTCCTCCTCCTCCTCCTCCTCCTCCTCCTCCTCCTGCCTGCTTCTCCCACCGCCTCCCGGCGCCAGGGGCGGCTATCTGTCGTGGCGAGTGCCCAGGCAGCGGGGTCGAAATCAGGTGTACGCATCAGATTTCGTACCCGCCCTCCCTCTCCCTCCTCCCCTCTCCCCTCCTCCTCTCTCCTCCTCCTCCGCCTCCTCCTCCTCCTCCTCCTCCTCCTCCTCCTCCTCCTCCTCCTCTCTCCCTCCTCCTCCTCCTCCTCCTCCTCCTCCCTCCTCCTCCTCCTCCTCCTCCTCCTCCTCCTCTGCCTGCCTGCCTGCCTGCCTGCCTGCCTGCCTGCCTGCCTGCCTGCCTGCCTGCCTGCCTGCCTCCCCCTCCCTCCCTCCCTCCCTCCCTCCCTGCCTGCCTGCCTGCCTGCCTGCCTGCCTGCCTGCCTGCCTG